GCAGCCGGGGGGAGGAAGGCCCTGGCCAGCCAACCTCCCGGTCCCTGAAGGCTTTTGAAAAACCTCTTTCTGGGGAGGCTTTTCTTTTCTCCCCAGTGGCGCACAATTCAAAGGTGCTAGCCGCAGAGCCGCCTGCCGCAGAGCCACCCGATCTCTCCCTGCACCCAGTCAGATTGAGTCTGGCGTGCAGCAGGGTGGAACACCCCGAGCTGCTGCCCACAGGTGGGAAGCTGATGGGGATGGGGCATGGATGCAGGGGCCTCAGAGCTGGACCACCCGGCCCCCAGCATGCTCTCCACCTGGAGGCATCCAGCTGCAGACCTCTGACCCCATTAACTGGATCAGTGTGGGGTGAAGTGACCCGTGAGGGTGAGGAAATGAAACTTGGGGTGAGTACCACGGGTGCAGTCCCAGTGACCCCCCCCCCCCCCCGGGGGGGGGGGGGGGTGAGGGGCTGGGAGGAGAGTGGATTCGCAAAGAGGCAGGCCCCCGAGGAGCTTCAGCTGGGGGGGCGAGAGGAGTTACTCACTTCTGACATCCCCACCCGTTGCTTTAAGGCTGTATTCTCCTTCCCTAACACATGTTGCTTGAAGTACATGATGGTTTGTGTTTAGATATGCGATAAATGTGGGGAAAGCAGTTTTGTGCTTTAGAACAAGAGAGTCTGGAGTCTTTGGGGGTGTCTCTCTCTCACACACACACACAGACACACACACACACACACACACACACTCACTCCTTCCTCCCCTCTTCCCTGGCCTGGCGAATCTTCACACAGAAAGTTAACCCTAGCTCCTCAGAACCCACCCTCGCTGGAGTGGCCTCGGTTTTTTGTTTTTTTTCTCTCTCACAAGGTTTTCTTCTAACCTCTAAACTGGCAGTCAGACATCCCGAGTGGTCCCAGATTGCAAGAGGGTGCAGGCCGGGCTGAGGGGACCCCCACCCCCCTCCGCACGAATTTTGTGCATTGGGCCTCTAGTACATAATAAAATGACAGTAAGTACATACTATTACCAATTACTTTAATGTAAATGGCTTAAATGCCTCAATCAAAGTTGCAGGGTGGCTGAATGGATAAGGAAACAAGATCCATACATATTCAGCTTACAGGAGACCCACTCCACTTCAGATCAAAAGACTAAAAGTAAAGAGATGGAAAAAGATATTTCATGCAAATGAAAACAAACAAAAAAGCTGGCTTAGCAACACTGTATCAGACAAAACAGACTTTAAGACAAAAGCTGTAACAAGAGGTAAAGAAGGACCCAGCAGTTCCACTTTTGAGTATTTCTCTAAAGAAACCTGAAACACTAATTTGGAGAGACATTTGCATCCCATGTCTACTGAAGTATTATTTAAAATAGCCAAGATACGGCAGCAACCTAAGTGTCGATTGATAGGTGAATGAATAAATGGAATACTTATTACTCAGCCATAAAGAAACACCTTGCCTGCAACATGGAGGGTCCTGGAGGGCATTCACTAGTGAAGTAGTCAGAGAATCCAGGATGGTGCGGAGGAGGTAGGAGCTACACTCACCTCCTCCCAGGACCCAACTGGAATTGCGGATGTACATAAAGTTGTACGCCTGAAACCTATATAATTTTATTAACCACTGTAACCCCAATACAAACAAACAACACAGAAACAGTCATAGATACAGAGAGCATTCTGCTGGCTGCCAGATGGGATGGTGAAAAGGGGAAGGATGAAGATGTGCAGTCTGCCAGGTGTGAAGTCACTGCGATGTAAGGGACAGGAGGACTCATGTGAGCTGGAGGACGCAAGTTTAGTCAGGGTCAAGCCCAGCCTCCGGAACACAGGGCGCTGGCTCACTGATGCATGGACGCGGAGGCTGCTTTCGGCAGCAAAGCAGAATGGCTATCCTAAGACCACAGGACCCCCTCAGCCTCTCTATTAGGGGCACTTTTTACGTGACTCATGAGGTTCCAGAGTTTCCTTTTGTAAACAACGAGAAGTGGCTGACTACACAAGTTAACACATTTAAAAAAGTGGATGTTGCTAGTGAGAAACTTTTTTTATGGATCAAATTCTAGTTTAATTTGATCCCCTTTTCAAAGGCTCCCCCCATTCCCTGCTAGATCCGTGAACCGTTAGAGGCCTCGAGCTCTGCGGAGGAGCGGCCTGAACCAGGAGGAAGCAGCTGCCAGTGTGGCTGGAAACGCTCCGAGGAAGAGGGCCAGCCTGGCCCCTGCCGCAGGAAACGCCACTCTCAGAGCGTGTGCAGCACACACCCGAGGTTAGAAGCACTGCCACAGCACCTCTCATCCACAATCCATACTTCTGGCCTGCAAAGTTACTGAAATGCATGTTCATTTTAATTATAAAATACTCTGTCTTATGGCCTCTCATATCAACTTTAGATCAAAATCTTCCAAAAGTTTCTAAAATCAATTTCTGTTCAAAATGAATGTTTTCAAAAACTTTTCAGATGGAAAAAAAGTGATACAAAAGACACATCAATGTTTACGTAATTTAAAACAAAAGGGTAGATTTAATGCAATGACAACATTAATCTGAGGATAAATAAATCCACAACAGACTTTAAAGTTTGTTTTTTCCCCTTTGCAGAGAGAATGGTTTTCTGAAAGCACATAGGGCTGAAGAAGTCAAAACAAAATGTAATTTCTTAATGTCCAGGTGAAACAGGCGTAGTCCTCCCTGCTGCCCTTCTAATAGTTGCTACTGGCCATGGTGATAGTTCCTCTTGTTTAAATCAGGATGGCCATTTGTTTCAAGAATAACTGGATGGCTTGTTTCCAGAATCATCTTCTTGTGACCCCATGCTCTGTAAGGAGAGGGAGGCAGTGCATTTACGCTGGCCCTTGTCAAGTTTCCCACCGGCCCCAACAAGCACCTGTGGGCCTCCCTGAGGACAGGCCCCCCGTTTCTTTGTGCACAGCATGACCCTCGTGAGCATGGAGAGGAATCCCGTCCAGGGACCGCCCTCTGCATCCCCTAAGCAGTCTGTAGTGTGAAAATGCTCTCAACAGTGTCTCTGTGAACTTTAAGGAAGGTTTTCAAGAACTCCCGGCAGCTAAACCTTTAGCCTGAAACTGAGTTCACAGTCCTCATGTGGGAACAACCCTCCTTCTCCATCCAGCCCACTTCTAGTTCATGAGGGGAACCCTCATCAAATACCTTCTGCACGAACTGGGGGTTCACTGTGATCTCCTGGTCCATCGCCTTCAGCCGCTCGTCCAGCTCTATGCACTTCAGCATCTGTGGGATGGACATGGTACAGGCGGTTAGTATGCAGGTGTAGGTCAATGGGAACCTAGACTGCTAACGTGGGTGCTACAGGTTCACAATCCCTTGACCTGAAACCACTGGAGCTAGACAGGCTTTGGAGTCAGAATTGTTGAATTCAGAAAGTTAATACAGTCCTAGGAGTAGGACCTAGGGAAGCACCCCCTAATCAAACACACTGTCATTTGCAGTAAAACCTAAAAACATGCACACTAAGTAGGATAAGTAAATATAAATCATGTCAGGTGACATTTGCCATCCAAATGAATTACCAAAAAAAACAAGCAATGCACAGTGTCCTTCCCCAGTTCCTTATCTCCAATTCAAAGTTGGGAAAACCCTGAAAACTCGAAGTCTGCTTTTTACGCTTTTGAGATGTAAGGCTTTGTTCAATTCATTGCCTTAACCTGAGGTGAGACGCACAGACCACCCACACAACCCCAACTCGTCTGCAGGACCAGCGGCACTCAGAGCAGCGCGTGGGGGCGGCCTTCCTCCCTCCACCCACTCCTCACAGATGGTCTCCGACCCGACCTGGAACTCTGGATCCATTTGTCCACGGCAACGAGACTCTACCTCATAGGTGCCAGCTGAGTGTGGATAAAATCACACTGATTGTAAGACCCTTCAGATGACTGAGGAGGCAGAGCAGGCTTTGTGAGCGACATGGGCACTCTACCCCAGCATTCACTTATAACCAATGATCCTGAAGAGGCGAAGCAGCCCATTTTGTAATTACCTTTCGAGGAACTAAAGTGCTCCTAGAAGCTTGTTGGGAACTACCTGCATTTATACTAAAATTATCCTGGAGCACAGGGACAGTGTTTCAAACACAGCATCTCAACACCAATCCAAAATCCAAACCAGACGCTCATGCTTACCTCCTGATCGATGTTATGAAGCATGGCCGGGTTGTTATATTTCTCAGGGTTATCATGGAAACTGACCATACCATCCTTCTGATTAATACTTGCAAAAATTTCACCATCTTCTATCTATAAAAAAAATCAGGGAAGAAGTTTAGACCTGAACACTATGGGAATTTATAGTGATTCAATATAACCAGGGCAAAGCACAGAAAGCAATAAATACATAAATTTATATGTGTATTTTAAGCACAACTGTTTTTTCAACAAGTATTTACTGAATTCTGAGGATGTTCTAGGCACCATTATAGATGCTAGGGGGTGTAAAACTAATACACTCATAAAAATCCATGCCCTTACATTGTTTTATTTGTATTTTATTTTACATGTGAGGTAAAAGTCATTAACCATTTTAAAGTGTATAATTTAGTGGTATTTAGTACATGCACAGTGTTGTGCAAACTACCACCTCTATCTAATTCCAAAACATTTTCATCCCCCAAAAGGAAACCCACACCTACTGAGCAGTTACTCCCTGCTCTCCCATCCTCTCAGCCCCTAACCTGCTTTCTGCGCTATGGAATTGCCTGTTCTAGACCTTTCTATAAATGGAATCAGACAATATGTGTCTTTTGTGTCTTGTTTCCCCTAGCATAACGCTTTCAAACTGCCCTCGCATCTTTATTTATTTTTGCTAATCTTCACCCAAGGATATTTTTGCCACTGATTTTTATTTTTTTAATATATTTTCATTGATTTCAGAGAGGAAGGGAGCGGGAGAGAGAGATACAAACATCAATGATGAGAGAGAATCATTGATCGGCTGCCTCCTGCACGCCCCCTACTGGGGATCGAGCCACAACCTGGGCATGTGCCCTTGGCTGGAATCGAACCTGGGACCATTCAGTTTGCAGGCTGACGCTCTACCCACTAAGCCAAACCAGCTGTGACATGCCATTGATTTTTAGAGAGAATGGAAGGGAGGGAGGGAGGGGAAGGGGAAGAAAGAGAGAGAGAGAGAGAGAGAGAGAGAGAGAGAGAGAAACATTGATGTGAGAGAGAGAGCGACTGGTTGCCTCCCACACATGCCCGAGCTGGGGATGGAAACTGCATCCCAGGTATGTGCCCTTGACTAGGAATTGAACCCGGGACCCATCAGTGTCTGGGTGGACACTCAAACCATTAGCACACTGGCCGAGGCTGCCCTGGCATCTTTAAACATTAGCTTCATTGTATATCATTGACATTGCCCTTGCGTTTTAAAACTGAAATGCTAACACATTTTTGCTTCACCACAGTAGAAATTATTTTCTGGTCCTTCAAGAAAACGTTTCTGCCAATGCTGATTCCAAGGTGGCTTCAAGGTCTATGTTCTTTAGTTGCACCAATGACTGGGTATTTATTTGATTGATCCTCACAGCCAAATCCGTCCATGAAGTTAAAAAGCAAGAAGCCAATAGAAGTCCCAAACAGGTACTGTTATTCCTAACAAAAGTGCTCCTCCACAGGGTGGCGACAATGAGCCATCTGTCACTGAGCTCCCTACACCGGCCTGCTCCTTTCTAGCCTCGGGAAGGACAAGTCCTGTTTAGTGATACAGCAACCAGCCCAATACACACGAAAAAGACTGCCTAATTCTCCAAGTGACCACAGAGAGCTGCCTCTTTAAAAAGTGGAAGGAATATATCCAAATATTTGAAATGCAGACCTAGGTCCACCACAGCAGCACTTTCTTTTTTTTTTTTCCTTCTTAAGCATTTTTTTTTTTAATTTTTTTGTGGCTTAAAGTATTACAAAGGGTATTACATATGTGTCCTTTTTTCCCCCGCCCTTGACAATCCCCTGGCCTCCCCTACCCCCCCGTGTCTTATGTCCATTGGTTATGCTTATATGCATGCATACAAGTCCTTCGGTTGATCTCTTACCCCCTTCCCTCCTGCCCCCCAACCCTCCCCGGCCTTCCCGCTGCAGTTTGACAATCTGTTTGAGGCAGCTCTGCCTCTGTATCTATTATTGTTCAAAAGTTTATAATGGTCTCTATTATCCATGAATGTGTGAGATCATGTGGTATTTTTCCTTCATTGACTGGCTTATTTCACTTAGCATAATGCTCTCCAGTTCCATCCATGCCATTGCAAATGGTAAGAGTTCCTTCTTTTTTACAGCAGCATAGTATTCCATCGTGTAGATGTACCACAGTTTTCTAATCCATTCATCTACTGATGGGCACTTAGGCTGTTTCCAAATCTTAGCTATGGTGAATTGTGCTGCTATGAACATAGGGGTGCATAGATCCTTTCTGATTGTTCTTGGGATATATTCCTAGAAGTGGGATCACAGGGTCAAATGGGAGTTCCATTTCCAGTTTTTTGAGGAAACTCCATACTGTCTTCCATAGTGGCTGCACCAGTCTGCATTCCCACCAGCAGTGCACAAGTGTTCCTTTTTCTCCACATCCTCTCCAGCACTTGTCGTTTGTTGATTTGTTGATGATAGCCATTCTGACAGGTGTGAGATGGTACCTCATTGTTGTTTTGATTTGCATCTCTCGGATGATTAGCGACTTTGAGCATGTTTTCATATGTCTCTTGGCTTTCTGAATGTCCTCTTTTGAAAGGTGTCTATTTAGGTCCTTTGCCCATTTTTTGATTGGATTGTTTATCTTCCTTTTGTTAAGTTGTATGAGTTCCCTATAAATGTTGGAGATTAGGCCCTTATCAGATATAATGTTGGCAAATATGTTCTCCCATGTAGTGGGCTTTCTTGTTGTTTTGTTGATGGTTTCTTTTGCTGTGCAGAAACTTTTTATTTTGATGTAGTCCCATTTGTTTATTTTCTCTTTAGTTTCCAATGCCCTAGGATCTGTATCGGTGAAGAAATTGCTTCGGCATATGTCTGAGATTTTGTTGCCTTTGGATTCTTCTAGTATTTTTATGGTTTCCTGTCGTATATTTAAGTCCTTTATCCATTTTGAGTTTATTTTTGTGTATGGTGTAAGTTGGTGGTCTAGTTTCATTTTCTTGCATGTATCTGTCCAATTTTCCCAGCACCATTTATTGAAGAGACTGTCTTGACTCCATTGTATGTTCTTGCCTCCTTTGTCAAATATTAATTGAGCGTATTGGTTGGGGCTGATTTCTGGGCTCTCTATTCTATTCCATTGATCTATATGCCTGTTCTTGTACCAGTACCAGGCAGTTTTGAGAACAGTGGCTTTGTAATACAGCTTGATATCTGGTATTGAGATCCCACCTACTTTGTTCTTTCTCAGGATTGAGCAGCACTTTCTGTAATAACCATGTTCATCTAATTAGAATGGAAGGGTATACTCATACTGTGGATCCCTGAAAATGGATGAACTACTAGTAAAACTACATATAACACCATGTATGAATCTCAGGTTAAGCACAAAAGCCAGATCCCAAAAAGTATATACTGTATGTTTCATTTTATATTTTATACTAGAGGCCCGATGCATGAAATTCCTGCAAGAATAGGCCTCCCTTCCCCCGGCTGCCGGCACCGGCTTCCCTCGCAGCCCCAGCTGCGTCTGGAAGGTCGTCCGGTCTTATTTACATATTACGCTTTTATTATTATAGCCAAAGCTCAAAACAAACACAACTAGGAAAGGCTGTGAGAAGTCAGGATAATAATAACCTTTCTGGCCAGAGCAGGACTGGAAGCGTGAGCGCGGTTCCTGGGTTCTGGCGGCGTTCTGGCTCAGGGCCTGGGTGCTGGTCGCACTCTTCCCTACGTGGGCTACACGTCAATAAAAGGGTTACGTTACAGCACCAGTCCCAGAAAGGCTCCCTGGTGAGGCCGCCAGACGAGGAAGGGAGAAGTCAGGCCAATGTCTACCATCTCTCTCAGAGGACAGGGCAGAGGGAACACTTCCCACGCCATTCTATGAAGCCAGCATTACCCTAATACCAAAGTCAGACAAAAATATTACAAGAGAAGTATTACAATGTTCACTCTCTCTCATGAACATAGATACAAAAATACTCAACATATAAGCCAACCCAACAATATGTAAAAAGAATTATACACCAAAACCAAGTGGGATTTATTCCAGGTGTGCAAGGCTGGTACAACATTGATGTTAACGCAGCATGTCAGCAGGCTAAAAAAAGATCATGGTCAAATCAACATATGCAGAAAAAGCATTTCATAAAATCCAATACCCACTCATGATAAAAACGCTCAGTAAACTAGGGAGAGAGAATTTCCCTCCACCTGATGAAAAATATCCACAAAAAACCTAGAGCGAGTATCGCCTGGTGAGAGACTTGAAGATTCCCACAAGGTGAGCAGCGAGGCATCACACACTGTAGCACCGCACTGGAGGTTCTCGCTAACACAGTGAGATAAAAAAAAAGGGGGGGGGGTATATATAGATTGTGAAAAAGAAAGAGAACTATCTTTGGTCATAGATGACATGATCATCTATGCAGAAAATCTGCAAGTATCACCCCCACCAACCAAAACTCCAGCAATTACTAGTATAGCAAGGCTGCAGGATTCAAGGGTAAAACACAGAAGGCAGCTGCTTTTGTATAAAGCAGCAATGAACGAGTGTAACCTGAAATTTAAAGCAATACCATTTACATGTGCGTCCCTATCCCCCAAAATGAAATACTTAGGAATAAATCCAACAAAAAATCTGTAAGATCTATTTGAGGAAAACTACAAAAATCTGATGAAGGAAATCAAAGAACTAAATAAATTGAGAACTACTTCATGTTCATGGCTACAAAGACTTGATATTATCAAGATGTCAGTTCTTCCCAACCTGATCTGTAGATTCAATGCAATCTCCATCAAAATCACCGCCAGTTATTTTACAGATATGGACAAACTGACCATGTGGAGAGATAGTTTATGTGAAGAGATAAAAGGACACAGAAAAGCCATACAATATTAAAGGAGGACGAAGTCTGAAGGCAGACACTACATGACTTTTAAGACTTATTATAAAGCTACAGTAATCAAGACAAATAGATAAGTGGTACAGAATCAAGAGCCTAGAAATAGATCCACATAAACACAGTCACTGGATCTTTGACAGAGGAGCACAGGCAATACCATCAAGCAAAGTCAACCTTTTCTTTTTGTTTTTCCACAAATGGGTACAGGCTTTATTCTCAGTGCACAGCAGTACTGAGTTCTGCTCATCAGCAACAAGTTTTATTGGTTCCAAAAAATTATCCCTTTTTTCCATCTTTTCAAACTCCTACTCTTCCTGTCTCAGTGGAACAACATATTTGAATTTCAGACTTGTCAGTTTATAGCATTTTTTTCCCCCTAAGAACCATATAAATACATGCAAAACATTGTACAGAGAGCTTAAATACTATCAAAATGCAAATACAGATTGGGTGCACTGTTAAGCCGAATTGCAAATTATGGCAACACACACTGGGGTACACACTGCTCTGATATCACCATTTGCTTACTGATGTCATGCAGACCACAGTGGCCTATCTTTTGTTTTTATTATTTTATACAAAAAACAAAACACACAAACCAGTGCTTGCTATACTAGTTACAGAAAAAAGAAAAAGAGAAGAAACTCAAAATTCCTATCTCCGTGCTGATTTGAAAAGAACAAAGTAGTTAGCAAAGTCAGCCTTTTCTACAAAGGGAGCTAAAACAACTGCACATCCACATGCAGAGAAAGAACCTAGACACAGACCTACACCCTCCACAGAAATTACAGGTCACAGACCTAAAGGTCAATGCAAAACTATGTAACTCCTGGAAGATAACACAGGAGAAATCCTAGATGCCCTGGGTATGGCGATGGCATTTAGACACTCTTACCATATGGTCCAGCTATCACACTTTCTGGTATTTACTAAAGCGAGTCAAAAGCTTATGTCCACACAAAAACCTGTACAAGGATGTTTATAGCACTTTTATTTATATTTGAGAGCAACCAAGATGAATGAGTAAACTGGACTATATCAGACCATGGACTGTTGCTCAGCACTACAAACAGATGAGCTGTCAGCCCTGCAGAGGCAGGAGGGACCTGCGATGCAGACCCCGAGGGAAGCAGCCAGTGGAAGGCTGCCCCTGTGAGTCCCACCAGAGGCCCTTGTGGAGACGGCAAAGCTGTGGGAGTGAGGTCAGTGGCTGCCAGGGGTGGAGGAGAGGACATGCACAGGCAGAGCAGAGGGCGTGTAGGGCCGGGACACTACCGGGTCAGACCATAATGATGGGTATGTATAGTTACACACTGTCCAAACCCACAGAATGTACAAGAGTGAACCCAACGCAAACCCTGGACTCTGGGCGGCGATGGTGTGTCCATGTGGGCTCCTCTGCTGTAACACATGCACCACTTTGGTGAGGGATGAGGACAATGGGGGAGGCTGTGCTTGTGTGGGGACAGGGGGTAATGGGAAATCTCTGTATCTTCCCCGCAATTTTGTTTTGAATTTCAAACTGCTCTAAACAAAATCACGCCCTCATGGACTAACACCCAGGCCAGGCTTTTCCAAGCTCGGCAGTAGTGGCACTTCGGGCCAGCAAATGCTTTGCTGTGTGGCTCTCCTATGCATTTAAGACATTCAAGAGCATCCTTGGCCTCTACTCACTAGACGCAAGTAGGGACAGCCTAGCGGGGGCAGCCAGAAATGTCTTCAGGCCTTGCCAAATGTCCACTGGCAGACAAAACACCCCCTGCGGACCCAGGCCTGACAGGCTGTGTCTGGGTTGGTTATGCAGTGTTCAAAACCCGTCCCCCTCTCTGACCCCTCAAAGCATTTTGCTGACGCCTATGTCCTGGCTGGGTCATCACCACCCATGTGTTTCTTCTTACCCCTGGGAGGCTCTGTGGCTTCCCACAGGATTAGCAAGGTGCCCTTAGCAGACACTCCCAGGTTGGTTAAGTCAGACAAGTTTTGTTTGGGATGTGTGTTTTGAAGGGAAAAAAAATCTCAAAACATTTGCAAATTGGACTATGGGAATAAACTACTCCACTATCCAATGGAAAACAGTTGTATTCCTCCCCATCGTGATGTGGCAGGCTTCTGAGCCACAGGGGAGGTCAGAGCAGAACATGCAGATGCTAGCTTCCTGCAGACCGGCTGTCTTGGGCCAGGACAGGTCTGTTCTGGTAGAGCCATGTATCTACATAACTAAGCAGTAGGTAGATTACAGTATATCAACTCAGTGGGTTACCATGTAGTCAACTAAATGATGCTTATCCAAATATGGAGTGGGGCGATACAACTGGAAGTGATAAACAGGGGTGTCAGCTATACTGGTAGTATCTGATTTCTGAAGCTGGGTGCTGCGCATAGGAGTGCCCGTTCTAGCACCCTTTATAGCAACACTATTCTAAGTGTTCTGAGCACACTGCCTCCCTGAGCAGGACTCTGCCGGTGATGGAAGCAATGCCCTGACCTCCATATGGGCACAAGTTCATGACCTTATCATGCACCAGTATGTTGAGTAACACTGCCTTATGCCTCTTTGTATATCATAAATATTTCATGATGCTCTAGCCTGTTTGGCTCAGTGGATAGAGCATCGGCCTGTGGACTGAAGGGTCCTAGGTTCAATTCTGGTCAAGGGCATATGCCCAGGTTGCGGGCTTGGTAGGGGCGTGCAGGAAGCAGCCGATCAATGATTCTCTCTCATCATTGATGTTTCTGGCTCTCTCTCCCTCTCCCTTCCTCTCTGAAATCAATCAATCAATAAAGAAAAAAAATTTTTCATGAGTGTTTTAAATGTTTACAAAAATTGACATGAGCACAAACAGGATGCACCCTATAAATCATTATAATTACTATGATTAGAGAAACACATAGATCATTAAGGAAATAAACCAAAATGTCCACAGAAGTTGACTTTGGACGTTCCCCAACCCCCTTCTCCTTTTTCACATTTTCCATAATGAACACCTGTTACTTCCACAAACACAGAAATCCACTAATAAGTTTTAACAATGAAAGCACACTTACCATGTGCAGGACATATTTTTCTGCCTCCTGTGGTCCAGATAATTGCACACGACTTGCCATATCTTGTAATGATAGTGTTAAAAAGGTCTGAAATTCAAAAGCAGAATCACAGGTAGAAACTACTGAGAAAATAAATTTTATTCAATGTGTATAGAGTTCTACTCAATCACTGAACAAGTGCTTTCCATTACTGCACAAAATGACTTTTTGTTGTGAAGAGGACTTGACACAGATGAGCCCAGTGGTTTTAGCCACCACTTTTCCAGAGCAATGACTCCTAGAAGTGCAGCCTCTGTGTCTGAAATGACATGCGTGCACGGTTATCACTGCAGCACTGTTTGCAACAGCAAAAGGCTGGAACCACCTTTGGGTCCATCAGCAGAGAACAGCACAGCACAGCACAGTTATATAAACGCACTATAATGCAGTTGTAACAAAAACTAAGAAGTGAGACTTTTCTATGAATCAAAAAAGAATCCAAGATATGTACATTGTTAAATATAAAAGAGGATGCAGAACAGTGCACCCTAACATGTATGTAAAAGAAAGGGAAACAATGTGTGTGAGAGCGAGTGGGAGAGAGAGCACTCTTGTACGTGCACAGACAATCTGGTACCCCGGGAACTGCTAACACTGGGTGGCCTCTGGGTGAAGAAAAAGGGGAGGCTGGAATATATGAACTGGATGGGCATTTTTCTATCTTTTGAATTTTGTATTGTAAACTTATTACTGACTAAGTAAATATGAATCCTTCAAAAACCAGTGTTTATCACTGCTCTGCTTGGGACATGATGAAACTATCTCTTTCAAGAACCAATTAGAAGAGCTCCTGCCCGGCCGGCCTGGCTCAGTGGTTGAGCATCGACCTATGAACCAGGAGGTCACAGCTCGATTCCCGGTCAGGGCACATGCCCAGGCTGCAGGCTGGATCCCCAGTGTGTGGCCTGCAGGAGGCAGCTGATCAATGACTCTCATCATTGATGTTTCTCTCTCTCTCTCCCTTTCTCTTCCTCTCTGAAATCAATAAAAATACATTAAATAAATAAATAAATAAAAGAGCCCCCGCCCTCCCCTTAAAGAAAAATCAGCAATATTTATAATAATGGCATTTTTAGAGCAGGGCATGTTAAAACTCTGATCTTAAAAATTCTTGACCAAAAAAATCTACATATACTTTAGTTTGGAGAATAGCACCTAAGAAAATAAAATTGTTAATTTTAAGTACATAAGTAGCTTAACACGAAGGAAAATTCAAAAGTGAACATTTCTAAATACATAGAACTATCAATGTTCTTGTAACTAGAAACTGCCACCGGAATGCCCATCAGTCGAGGATTGATTGAATGAATTACGATCCACCGTACAATAGACTACTGTTACTGACACAGTACTGTGATAGAGGCTTATGTTGCCAGGGAAGAAAGAGGGTTAAGACATATTGAACAAAAAAGCAGAGTAGAAAACAGCATGAAGAATATGATCCCAATCACACTTAACTGGGAGTTCCCACATAGGCATATAGACAGAAGATGGAGAAGAGGAGTCTAGAAAAACTTCCACCAAAATGCTAACATGGAGTAGATTCAACCTCCATGTGATAATCTGTCCCTAGTCGCGTTCTAGAAAGGGAAACAATGAAATCCCATGTGAGCTAGGAGCTATGGGACATGGCTCCTGTCACTGACAGTCTACCTGTTGAGACTTCTTACAAAGCTTTTATTTTCTGACTTTCGAAAGGAAAGAGACGTGCTGGGTAGAAAAACCTTAAATGTTTCCCCCTTCTGTTATTCTGGCATGAGGACAGAATGCCAAAACGTTTAACAGCCACCATCAAAGACTTAACCTTCTGACTAGCCCAGGGGTGGGCAAACTTTTTGACTCGAGGGCCACAATGGGTTCTTAAACTGGACCGGAGGGCCGGAACAAAAGCATGGATGGAGTGTTTGTGTGAACTAATATAAATTCAAAGTAAACATCATTACATAAAAGGGTACGGTCTTTTTTTTTTTTAGTTTTATTCATTTCAAACGGGCAGGATCCGTAGTTTGCCCACGGCTGGACTAGACACATCCTTTAATGACAATGTCCCTCCTCTATGTCCCCTGGGCAGTGCTTTTCAGCCCAGCGGACCCCAATCAGCCATGAGTCAGCACATACAAGACTGAGCCACAGCCCCGGCCCTGGCTGACCACCTGAGGCTCTTCCTGTTCATGTGGTCAAACTCATGTTCTGGACTGATCTGATCCAAACCAGAGTAGAAACTACCAGCTTACTTCCCAGGGCTGGACTGGGGCTGACTGCTTCACACCGTTAACTGATGGTTTTTGCAGAGATACCTACTTCCTAGATTGATTAAGTTCTAATTCCTCATTTAACTGTTATTTAACTTTCTGCACTTAAATTTTTTAAAAATACACTGTCATTTAACCTTGGTAATATTCTGATTCTTTTACTTAAACCTCAAGTACTAGTCACAAATGGGGTGCTGGTCTTCTACCTCCTGCTGGTGAGACAGGGATCTACTTAGAGTGGTTCTGTTGGCCCCTGGACCAAAGAGGAAATGTTGCGGGGAGAACCAGGCTGCTTGTTATTCTGAGTCCCTTAGATCCCGGTCTTTTTTGTCTGTGGGTCAAGTTGGTTTTCCTCTGGCTGACAAGTTAATATTCGTTTTTTTATCTTTTTTTTTTTTAGTGGCTTTCACATTCTTTATTTCCTCTTACAAATTAGCTTTCTACAAATTCTCTGTTGACCTCCTGTTAGCTAGCTACTCTCTGGTATTTGGGCGCTTCCTTTCCTTGGCCGGTGGCCACTCCTCACCTCCCTCCCTCTTTTCCATGCACGACCAGCCCAACTCATCATTTCCCTCCAGCTCCTCTGGGCCCTCACAGTCAGATCCTCCTCCGCTCCCCCCTTCACCTGGGGCCCTGGCCCTCCCAGCAACACACACCCTATTCTCTCCTGTTCCTCTGCTTCTCCGCCATCACCCCGCTGCTGACATAAGGCAGAGGGCACACACACAGACAGCTGCACCTTCTCACCAGTTCTGAACCAGCCTGACCAGACTACTCAAAAGGAAAAAACAATACTCTATTTTTTAAGCTGCTCTTAGTCAGTGTCCTATTCCTTGCAGTTATGCCTTCCTAGCTCATATGGGATTTCATTTTTCTTTTAAAATTTTCTATATACAAAAACCATCACTTTGAAAACAAAAGTATATAATTGACTTATCTTCTAGAGTTCAACCACCCAGCTTCTTCACCTCTGGCCTGAATGGCCATTACCGTCACAGTGTTTGTCCAAACACATCAGCACAGCCTGAGCGGCCCAGGCTGCTCGCGAGGACTTCATCTGCGTTGTTACGTGTAGCCCCCAGCTGCCCACGGAACGTTTACCCCTCAGGCTAGCTTCCTCTGCCTCCCAAAGCAGTAGTAGCGCCCACCTGTCTTCCTCTCCACCGGTTCCTCATCTCAAATACCCTGTGCCCCTGCACCTGCTTCTTCAGCATCGAGAAGGGAAAGAGGAGGGGGCAGCGGCCCGGGAGACGGGAAGGGCCTGAGGGCCACGTGCCTCACCTTGGTCAGCCTCTGAATGTTCTTCTTATAGAGAGAGGACAAGCACTGCTTCACCAGCCCCATGTTGTTGTCACGAGTAAACGTTTCGCTGTGCTTATTCACCAGGTTTCGGAGTTCTGAGGGGTTATTGGTTGAATATACTTGTGCTAACTCGTGGTATGCATTACTAAGAGGCTAAAGGTTTAAAGGGGGAAAATAGATGAAAATGTTAGAGAAGTAAAATTTATTCAGGAAGCAAAACAAAACATGGCACTGTATTTTGAGCAAGTACATCCAATACCCTTTATTGTTACCTAACAAATTATAACCTGCCCAACAAATGCTCAGTGAAGACCAAGGATACATTTTCACTATGGAGTAATTTATTATAAAAAAAACCTTTGTGGTACAGAACAAATAACTGCACAGCAGGCGAAAGCGCACTGCATTTGGTAAAGACAAACACATCTTTTTCCCCCCTATCAGCGGCTCCTTTTTCTATTGGGAAGAAAGAAGGTAGAATTTTCATTATTCTCAACTCTCTCTCACGTCTCATTCACCCACATACACCTCCCCAGGTGCCATGGGACAATCGGCTACTTTAGCTAAGAAGGAAGACAGGGGCAAGACGACTGATGGTGGCGGAGGACCTGAGAGCCTGAGCTGCTTTAGGTATGTTACCTCACACACATTATCCTTGAACTGGGCAGAGGTCCAAAAAATGTGGTCATGAGCACAGGCATAAACTGGATTCAAACCTATATTTCTACTTTTGAAGTTTGTGGTCTTTTCAACCAGTTATGACACCATCATAAATAAACTACTAACGCGTGTGGAATTATGCCACTTTAGAAAAACATTCCTGCCTAGCTAGTGTGGCTCAGTGGTTGAGCGTCAACCCATGAACCAGGAGGTCATGGTTCACTTCCCGGTCAGGCAGATGCCTGGGTTGCGGGCTCAAATGCCAGTAGGGGGTGTGCAGGAGGCAGCTTATCAATGATTCTCTCTCATCACTGATGTTTCTATCTCTTTCTCCCTCCCTCTTCCTCTCTAAAATCAATAAAAGCATATTTAAAATAAAATTTAAAAAATCAAAGCATTCCTTCTAAAACAGGGCCACCTAAAGGAACCACGGGAGTTCTCCAAAATGATCTGCGAATGGCAACCCTAACCCTATCCTGCCTCCTTCTTCCACGGGATCTCTTACCCACCAGCCTGTGACCAGGCAGCCGAGAGCCTGAGAAGCACGACAGGCCCTCAGGTGGAGAGCACGGGCTCTCTTCAAGACCACATAAGCATCTTCTCACCAGGAAGACTTTCAAACTGACACCCTGATCTGCCTTTTGTACGGGGACAAACAGGGTAAAACTGTTACTAAAATGACTGTGACCTGCCCTGGCCGGTTTTGCTCAGTGATCAGGGTCTCGGGTTCGATTCCCAGTCAAGGGCATGTACTTTGGTGGCAGGTTCCCCAGCCCCAGTAGAGGCGCGTGTGGGAGGCAATCAATCAATGTGTCTTTCACACATCAATATTCATCTCTCTCTCCCCTTCCTTTGTTCCACTCTTTCTAGAAATCAATGGAAAAAATATCCTTGGGTGAGGATTGTCTTTAAAAAAAAGACTGTCACCTCACAATCTTTTAAATTGTTCCATTTTTTAAAATGTGTTTTTATTGATTTCAGAGAGAAGGGAAGAAGAGAGAGAAACATCGATGATGAATTATTGATCAGTTGCCTCCTGCACACCCCCAACTGGGGATCAAACCTGCAACCTGGGCATGTGCCCTGACCAGGAATCAAACCCTGACCTTCTGGTTCATGGGTTGATGCTCAACCACTGAAACACACCAGCCAGGGCTGTTCAAATTTTTTAAAATCATGAGCACGTATTTCAAAATATTTTTTAAAAGAGTTAATTTATTTTTAATGTGGTCCCAAAGCTGGGTAGACAAGGAACACACAAGTTCGTGAGCAGAACCGTGGTCTTCACACGATCTCCCAGCACGTGCCAATTGAGAGCTCAATAAGTCAGCATTGCTTTTCCAGCATTTCACTAAATTGTAATGAAGAAAAAAAAATCAACCGTTATTGGAGCTCAAACATCTACAGCTATAAGTCTGAAAACAGGTTCCTGAGAAACATGCTGCTCCAATCGGTGATCAGAAGGTGTATGAATAGGAGTGATGTTAGGGGTTCTACCAGAACTGCTGCTCCCAGGCTCCCTGCAGACAGTTAACAAATGTCCGCTAAATTGAAGCTGGTGGGAGAACTAAATCAGTATAAAATAAAATTATACAACCATGTATCTTTCCATTTCCTTAAGGACTTAAGAAATCAGTTTTATTTTAAAAACTCACCTTAATGAATCTACCCACAATTTGAGATGTATATTTTGGTAGCTGTTGTACTTTTCCAAGTAATATCAAAGAAACTAGAATATACTTTTTATATGATTCCAACATGATATGACTGACCGCCATGGCAGGGGTAGTTATAGCCTGAGCAAGAGAAGAATATTGAATGTGAAGACAGCACACCGCAGCAGGGAAGAACAATCAACTACAGGTATCGCTTGAATTATAAAACAATACTTACATTCAATGTCCCATTTTCTTTATAACATCTTTATTGAGATACAATTCACATAAACATTTTCCCTCTTGGAGTATACGATTCAGTGGTTTTAGTATATTCACCATTACCTAACTTCAGAACATTTCATCCCATCACAAAAGGAGCCCCATATCCATCAGCAGCAACGCCCCATTCTCTCCTCCCCTCAGGCCCAGGCAATCACTTATTCTATTTATGTTTCTATGGATTTGCCTAATGTGGCATCATAAATATGTGGCCTTTTGTGACTGGCTTCACTTGTGAAGGTTCATACATGTTGTTGATACCTTATTCCATTTTATGGTTGGGTAATATTCCATTGCATGGGTGTTTGACATTGTGTTTATTCACTCCTCAGTTGATGGCATTGGGGTGTCTCTACCTTTGGCCACTGTAAATAATGATGCTATGAACACTTGAGTACACGTTTTTGTGGACATTTGTCTTCATTTCTCTTGGGTATATATTCCTAGGAGTGGAACTGCTGCATCACACGGTAACTCTATGTTTAACATTGGAGGAATTCCCAATTCTTTTTTCAAAGCGACTGTGCCATTTTATAATTCCACTGGCAACTGTGAGGGTTCCAAATCCTCCACACCTCACTAACATTTATCATTATTGGTGTCTTTTTAATGCAGTCACCCTAGCAAGTATGAATTGGTGTCTCAGAATGCTTTTGATCTGTATTTCCTTGATGACTAATGTTGATGAGTATCTTTTCATATGCTTATTGGTCATTTGTATAACTTTGGAGAAATGTCTATGCAAGTCCATTGTCCATTTAGAAATTTTTGTTTTTACTGTTGATTTGTTAAGAGGTCTCTGTATATTCTGGATGAAAGTCCCTTAGAAACATGATCTGCAAATATTTCTCCCGTTCTGCGGCTGCCTTTTCACTTTCTCACTTGGATTTGTGAAGGTTAAGAACTGAAAACTATCACACCCAATCAACCCAATATTTCACATCAAAACTCAAACCATTGAGCCCAAGAGGCACTTCTTTGAGATTATCTACAGAAACAGTCACCTCAGCACACGAGAATACAAGTACGACCCCCACTGCAACCTGCTTCGCAGTGAAAGAACAGAATCAACTCTCAGTTCTATCCATCGAGGACTAGTCAGCTACCTGGGCCAGTCTGTGGTGCAGTATGAGGAGATGAAGATGCTTTCACTTTTTGCTTTATACAATGCTATACTGAATTCTTTTCAATATGTACGTCCTTCTTTTGGAATTTTTTTGAAGCAGTAAAATAATCGGTATCACCTTCTGAAATTAAGGTACTAATACCATCCATAATGGCATACATATTATTAAAATACAGTGGCTTGCCCTATTCGGTTTGGCTCAGTGGATAGAGCGTTGGCCTGCAGACTGAAGGGTCTCAGGTTGATCCCAGTCAAGGGCACGTACCTCAGCTGCAGGCTCGAAGGATCCCTGGCCCTAGGAGGCAACCAATGGATGTGTCTCTCTATCCATGTTTCTCTCGCTGTCTCTCCCCCTCCCTTCCACTCTCTCTAAAAATCAATGAAAAAAATATCCTCGGGTGAGGACTTACAACAACAACAAAAAACACACACACAGTGGTGTGGAGTAGACTAATACTAAACAATGCTTGTCCTTAGGGTTAATCAGGGAATAACTATATTTTCAGGTAAAAGGCTTCCACCTATAAATATAAAAAGTTTGGCCCTAACCGGTTTGGCTCAGTGGATAGAGCGTCGGCCTGCGAAGTGCAGGGTCCCAGATTCGATTCCGGTCAGGGGCATGTACCTTGGTTGCCGGCACATCCCCAGTAGAGGGTGTGCAGGAGGCAGCTGGTTGATGTTTCTCTCTCATCGATGTTTCTAACTCTCTATCCCTCTCCCTTCCTCTCTGTAAAAAAGAAAAAAAAAAGTTTGTTTTTAATATTTTAACTATTTGATGGAAATATTTTTCTAAGTACATTGCCTATCATCTTGATATTTCTAGATCAGTATGCTAATCACTTATACTGGGCTGTACAATGATAATGCATTCAGTGGCTATGAAGTGTGTTTATAATTTTCTGAAGAACTGAATTCCTCCTGCAAGCCCCACACTGGGGAATAAGCCCATAACCCAGGCATGTGCCCTGACTGGGAATCCAACCGAGACCTGGTTCATGGGTCGACCCTCAACCACTGGGCCACAAGGCTGGGCAGAACGGAAATTTTTGACTGTGTACTCTTGGAGAAGATTTTACCTGCCTTCTGGTGACCCTTCCCTAGGTTCTCTTGGTGGTACTTGTCAACTCCCCTCACGGAGGCAATGCTCAGTCACAGATGTGTGCGCGTGTATTTAAATGTTAGTATTTCAGCTCAATGGTAAGCTCCTTGAAGGTTTAAATATCCTTTATTATTTTAATATGTGCTATGAATAAAATAAGAACTAATTGACATCTAATAAACATCTTAAAATACTAGAATTAGCCAATACAGGATGGGGCAAAAATATATTTACAGTTCATGTAGAAGTTAATACAATAATTAATAAGTAATAATACAAGAATAAACTGTTTCGTGTACTCAGAGCTGGACACCTACTCTTGCCCCCCTGCACTGCATTCTCCCTCTCAGACTCTAAGGAAACCTCTCTAGACTATTGCACCAAGCTGTGTGGTGTCACACTACACACTCCAGTGGCCATTACAGACACAGACACAGGGGCGGGGATTTTCCACTGTGCATACTTAATATCCTTTGAATTTCAACCAAGAGAATATTTTACTTATTACAATAAAACTTAAGACACCACATATGGTTTTAGAACAAGACACTTCAAAGATCATCCAGTTCAAACTCTTACCTACGTGCAAAGGAAGCGATGCAGGTGGAGACGTTTACAACGGAAGCCAGATTAGACGGTATCAGTGGCAAAGCCCGGATCAGACCCCACCAGCAGTGCTCCCCCCTCCGGCCAATGCCCTTCAACTGAAGGAGCAAACCACCACCATGGGCACCAACCACGTCAAACTCGCAGCCCACAGGCTGCATGCGGCCCACACGAATATTTTTGAGGCCCAGCCAATATAACAGTATGTAAGAAACGTTTAAATAAAAATTTTGTAACACAATTTTTACAATATCCTGTTATACATACTTATTAATAACGAACTACAACGTTCGCTAATGAGTGATTACTATACATAATTATATTGCATTCATTTCCCTCACGCGCCTTACGCGCAGGCGCACCATTTCTCTCCACTAATACCAGCAGCGAATATTTTAGCGGCCGATGGCCACGGCATTAGTCTTGTACTGACTTCTTTGGTGTGCGCAACAGGAAATATTTCACTTTCGGAGAACAAGAAAAATAGGTTTATTTGCGTTATGCTTATTAATTTGTGCAGTTATTCAGTGTCTGGTAAGTTCATGTTCAAGACCAAATATTAATTTTTATTAAAATGTTCTATTATTTTATGTTAACGATGACTCATTTATTTCAGCCCTTTGTATTCAGCATGTCTCTATCGAAATAAACCTACGTTTCTATGAAAATTGGAGCTTTTATTTTTTTTTTGCGGCCACATACACTAACAACTTGTTTATTTGGCCCGTGTTAGCCTTTGAGTTTGACATGCTTAGTCCACATGGTCACTGAGAAGCGGTCTTTGACAGGACCTCCACCTGGTACTCAGAGCCCGAAATCAATCCGTTCCAGGCGGGCACTTTGACCACACAAGTTCAAAACACCCACTTAGAGATGAGATTACCTGCTCATAAAAGTAGAGTGCTCTTTCGAAGTTCTTCAGCCCAGTATAGATCATGCCTCCATAATAATAGTAACATAAAAAGTGCTTTGCATCGTAGGCTCCATTCTCTTTACAAATATCCATCATGTCCACGTCAAGATATGGAAGGGCAGGCTTAAAGCATTTTGCCAGCAAACAAAGCTGTGAAAAAGTATTTGTATTAAATTGTCACTTTAATTGTACTCTGGCAAGCTTTAGCAGAAGCAGCAAATTCATAGACTCCAAAAAGTTCAAGAAAAACATTGTTTTACATTTTCACATTTAACTTATTGATTAAAAGGGCCTGCATATCAACATATTACTCTGCTTTCTTAAGCATTCAGAATAAAGTAGCATTTGTTGTTGTTTTTTAAAATATATGTTTTTATTGATTTCAGAGAGGAAGGGAGAGGGGGAGAGAGATATCAATGATGAGACAATCACTGATCGATGGCCTCCTGCACGCCCCCCATGAGCCAGCAACCTGGGCATGTGCCCTGACCGGGAATTGAACCCTGACTCCTGGTTCACAGGTCAACGCTCAACCACTGAGCCACACGAGCAGGGCTAAAATAGCACTTTTTTTAAAAAAAATATATATTTTATTGGTTTTTTACAGAGAGGAAGGGAGAAGGATAGAGAGTTAGAAACATCGATGAGAGAGAAACATCGATCAGCTGCCTCTTGCACACTTCCTACTGGGTATGTGCCCGCAACCAAGGTACATGCCCTTGACCAGAATCGAACCCGGGACCCTTGAGTCCGCAGGCTGACGCTCTATCCACTAAGCCAAACCGGTTAGGGCAAAAATAGCACTTCTTTATAAAAGATGAACCAACCATGAGGTTCACTACTCCACAAATGAATTAAAGTTCAGCTAACAATTCACTTAGTAACCATTCTGTTTACAGATGCACAAACTAATCACATAGAAATAGATCAGCATGCTATGATTAAAAATGGAAGTTTCTTCTTTAATTATACTTTTTCAATTTCTAAATCCTTTACATAAGTGTAAGAAATTGTGCAAGTACATGGCAACGTCCTGTATGTGGGTGATGTGGCACAGGTGTAGACAAGGTACCAACTCCCTGAGCTAGCTGTTCACTTACTACTAGAGCACTTTATGTATTTTATACACCAATCACAAACGTTTCTTAAAAGACAAAAAGAAAGAAAAAATGGGAAAAGCACACCTTCATTGAAACTAGAACATGTAATTAAAATAATCCACAAACCATGTTATTCATTAAGGAAATAATCTCAATACCCTATAGGGACTGGTTAAACCCGTATTATGAAATACTCTGCAGCTATAAACCACTGATATGGAACCATCTCTAAGATACATTAAGTAGAGCCCTGGCCGGTGTGGCTGTTGGTTGAGAGTTGTCCCATGCTCTGAAAGGTTGCTGGTTCAATTCCTGGTCAAGGCATATACCCGTTAAGGGATCCATCCCAATAGGGGGTGTGCAGGAGGCAGCCTATCGATGTTACCCTCTTACATCGATGTTTTTCTCTCTCTCCCTCCCCCTCTAAAATCAATAATAAAAAATCATATTAAAAAAAAAAAGATACATTGCCCTAACCGGTTTGGCTCAGTGGCCTGCAGATCAAAGGGTCCTGGGTTTAATTCCGGTCAAGGGCACATACCTTGGTTGTAGGCTCCTCCCCGGCCTGGGCCCTGGTCAGGGCGCGTGCAGGAGGCAACCAATCGATGTGTCTCTTTCACATCGATGTTTCTCTCTGTCTTTCCCTCTCTCTTCCATTCTCCCTAAAAATCAATGGAAAAATATCCTTGGGTGAGAATTAACAAAAACAAAACAAAACAACAAAAAATAGATACATTAAGTAGAAAAAAGCAAGGGGGGAAAAAGCAAAAAGCAATGTACTGTATATACTTATTCATACAAATTATTACAATTTGTATAAAAAAAGAGACAGCCTTGGCCAGGTGGCTCAGTTGGTTGGAGCACTAACTCGTACACTGAAAGGCTGCAGGTTCAATTCCCAGTCAGGGCACATACCTAGGTTACAGGTTTGATCCCTGGTTGGGTGTGTATGGGAGACAACCGATCAATGTTTCTCTTACACATCAATGTTTCTCTCTCTCCCTTCCTCTTTCTCTAAAATCAATAAAAACATTTCCTCCGGTGAAGATTAAATAAAAAGAGAGAAAAAATAGACATATTTGCTTGTACATTCATAAAATATCTTTGGAAGGATAAACAAGAAACTGCTAACAATGGCTGCCTTTGGAGAGAGAGGTGGCTGTGAGGCAGGGTGGTAGGGAGACTGCATTTTGCCTGCTGGATTTTGAACCATGAGCAATAAAATAAACAAATAACATTTTAAGGTGTAAAGTTACCTGTGTTTATTCTCAGGTTCCAAGATTCCTTAAAAAAGAAAATAACTTGGTATTTTTTAAATGTCACAAGCCTACTAGCTGAGCACTGTTCTATAGTTTGTATCCAAAAACTGTTGAAAATTCTCTTTCTATAGATAGAGGTACCTATATATTCCAACTGCTAGGACATATCAGTCTCCACCAAACTGCCTTCATTTATCCAATCTGATGTTGAGCAAACCTACAACCAACCTTCCATCCCCGACCCGGTCTAACACTGCTGCTTACCTGGCAGAGATCGGCATGTACTGAGGTCAGCTGGTTTGTGTTCATCTGCATCTTGTCTATGGCTTGCTTGAGGATGCCAATTCCTCGCAGGGGCTGTCAGAAATGACATCTTTCAGATAAGTTCTCAGAGATGGCAGCACATTGGATCTTAGGTTGTCACTTACAAATAAAAAATAACACTAATTGACAGGTTCCTTTGAATGACAACATGAGGTTTCCATACTCTTTCAGGACTGTCCCAATTCAGTCAGAAAATGTTTTTTTACGCTGGTTCTTGTGATATTTAGAGTAATTCAGCACCATTTTTAAAACCATAGAGCCTTTTTTACAATGAAGATAAATAATCAAAAGCAACATTACTTTCTCAACAGTTCATTATATTTACATCTAAATAAACAAATCATTTAAAACAGATGCCGGCCTCCGCTTAGTAAACATAACTGTGTGCAAGGACGCTGACATTTTCCCCTCGGGTCGCTGGGCATCACCTAGAAACGTTCTCCAACATCATCTCGTACCTGATAATAAATTACGCCTGAAGCTGATACGGCCAGTTATAAAGGGGCCTTTCCCGCCCTGATTATAAATAACAAGGCTGAGCTTCCAGGGAGGCACAGCCAGTTTCTGGACAGGAGGTGTGACTAAAGTGCTGAATAACTATAAATGGCTTTTCAGTAAAGGTTGCTGGCAGTTTTTTAACCCTCTCTTTCAAACCACCACTTACTCAGTCCTCCTACAAAATACCAACCGCTTATTTCTGTTTCAGTCTCCTTCAAACAACTAGTCTTGAAGTTCAATTTCAAATAAAAGAGAAACACCTAAATTATAATTGTGTCAATATCACAAAATTAAAAAAGACCAAAGAACTGTTCCAGATTAAAGGAAATAAAAGTTGTGTGACAATGTAGCACAACCCACGAACTGAGATTTTCTTTTGTTGTAAATAAATTAATAAAGAACTGGCAAAATGGGAGTAAGGTCAGTATATTTGTTAAAGAATTATATCAATGTTCATCTCCTGATGTTGACCTTTGTATTGTGGTTATGTAAGACAATGTCCTATATTTTAGGCAACACTCAAGGGCCATCCTATCTGCAATTTACTTTCCAATGGCTCAGGAAAAAAGAGAGAGAAAAGAATAAGCAACTGTGGTAAGATATTAATATCTGGAGAATCTGGGTGCATGGTATATATGGGAATTGTTTACATTATTCTTGCAACTCTTTATAAAGCTAAAATTATGTTACAATGAAAAGTTTTAAAAGTTTTAGCAAACAAAACCCAGCATAGTATCACACAAAGGACACTAGAATGGGAGCTCCAAAACCATTACCACTGGCTGCAGCCTCCGAGGCTGGCCTCCCTGCACTGGAGTCTACACCTGCGGAGGGACTAGCTGTCCTTACTGCAAACGCTATGAGTACTTGAAGCGACCACCTACATCTAAGTGGTAGGACTCTTAGTACTAACCTGGAACCTTAACAAATTAGTTATTGTCTAAGTTAGATATCTATCTATCTATATAAAAGCCTAAGTGACCGTTCGCTATGACACACACTGACCAGCAGGGGGCAGACGCATAACGCACAGGCATGGAAACATGGAACAGACTGATGAATCTCAGAGGGAAAGTGGGGAGGGAGGAGGACAGGAAGAGATTAACCAAAGATCTTATATGCATACTAGAGGCCTGGTGCATGCACCAGTGGGGTCCCTTGGCCTGGCCTGAGGGGATCGGGCTGAAACCGGCAGTCTGACATCCCCCAAGGGGTCCCAGATTGTGAGAGGGCACAAGCCAGGCCGAGGGACCCCACCTAGTATGTTATAACAGAACTACAAACACTTGGATAACATTGCTTACCTGTTTTCTTTCCATAAGGGCATTTGTTAGCTGATGGCAAAGCCCAGCAACTAGATACAATAACAAAATATTAAAAATATAAATGACTAGACAGGCAAAATACATTCAATGGAAAATAGCAAAATGCAGTTTAGCTTACACGTGTCTGTTGCATATCGAATGTGCTCCCCATTACAAGTACTGATAAAAAGCTGAACCTGTGAGAATAATGTTTCGAAGTCAGGAACACTGGGCATAGAAAACTTCACAAATCTGGAATAAAGGGAAAAAATCAATTTATCTTGATATTTCACGGGGTAAAAATGTAGAAGCAACTGAGGTCAGAAATCCATCCTACCTCCAATGCTCTGTGAATTAAATGTGTCTCAGTATTTTTAAAAATTAAGAAACAGGATCTATGAGATTTTCCTGGCCTGTTTTTTTTTTTGTTTGTTTGTTTTTTTGCACAATCAAGACACAACATAGATTTTTAAAAAAAGAAAGAAAAATATGCTTAGAAAATAACAGCTTTTAAAAAGAAAAATTCCAGCCCTAGCTGGTTTGGCTCAGTGGATAGAGTGTTGGCCTGTGAACTGAAAGGTCCCAGGTTTGATTCCGGTCAAGGGCACATGCCCGGGTTGTGGGCTCGATCCCCAGTGGGGGACTTGCAGGAGGCAGCCAATCCATGATTCTCTCTCATCATGGATGTTTCTCTCTCCCTCTTCCTTCCTCTCTGAAATCAATGAAAAATATATTTTAAAAATAAAGAAAAATTCCATTAAATGGGGCCAAATATCAGGTCTTCCTAGTATTTGTGAAGGAACTCAATATAAACTTATAACCAAAACTTTAAGAAAATATTTTTCTTTTCAGTTCCAATGTGGTCTGGACTATTGACTCAGTTTAAAAGCCATCTGTTGCCTTTCCTGCCCTGAAGAGAACAGGCTGAGCGGACAAGGAAGCAGAGCTGTGGACCACAGAAGGCTACGGCCAGGATGGGCGATGCTGGGGTCCATCTGGGAGAAAGCACTAGCTGAGGAGCAGGACGGGAAGAACTGGAGGTGCTGGGAAGAGGGAGGACTCAGATGGTCCATCCTGATGCCCTTGGCAGACGGTGCCTTTCAATTGCCCACGATAAACACTCGGGGGGCAGGGAGAGACGGAAGGTTCGAAGATAGGTTTGGGGGAAAAAATCACATAAGCTACCACCACTAAGGCACTGCTTACAAGTAAACTTCAAGCTCTTCTTTTTAGTAAAAAAATGGAACTGTTGAAACTAATTTCAAGAAAAAAGAAATGGATAGTTTTGCCTATTCACAATTTCTCTAAAATCTTTCAATTTGTACTTCTATCCAGTTCAGTATTACTGGACTTAACATTATCTGTCACTGTACTTCCTTCCCCATTATCAAGTATGTCTGAATCAATTTCATCAGGGGTTCACAATAAATTAATAAGGCATTGTCATTTCCATTTTATAAATAAAAACATGAAACTTGGGACCCCTTCCCTAATAATGGAAGAACGTAATTCAAATCCGGGGTACTCAGAAACAAGGCCAGGGCAGGTTTTCTTTTACTTAAATACAAGAAGAAACTGTTTTGTGTACTCACAACTGTAGCCCTACTTTTGCCCACCCTGTACATACATGTGAATTTGTGTGTACAAAACATGCATGCTAAAAAGGGGGGGAAGCCCCAATGAATAAAAAAGGTATAGCATGCACGCTGTCCTTTTAATCGGCGAACACAGACAGTGGAAGCCTTTCCTAGCCTGCGCATCCCACAGAGCTTTCCGCAAAAATGTGGGTAGTGCAACTAGGAACTGAATCTTTAACTTTTTAAAACTAATTTACATAGATGTGGCTAGTGGCTACTATACTGCAGAGCAAAGCTCTAGACCAGGGGTGGGGAACATCCGGCCCATGAAATCATTTGGTCTGGCCCTGCCAAGGCATTAGGGATGAGTTAAATGTTTGACCAAATACAGCAGGCTAATTTTTAAGTTGATAATTTTGTATGGCCCGCAAATGTTATAAATATCCAAATAGCCCTTGGCAGAAAAAAGGATCTCCACCCCTGCTCTAGACCCTTTCATTCTGAGTTTTTTCTCTAAACTCTATTCTTGACCCTACCTTTGTCTCAGGAATCCCAGTCCAAGTAAAGCCAGACCCTCGCTCTTAGTTCTTCTCAGTTTATTTATATTATTACAACTTTCACGACAACCTTAACTTCCCAATTTTAATACTAAAACATCAAGAGAAAAGTAATTCTACTGTAAGGTACCCAGAGTTACAAGGAACCCAATTAAAACAGGTCTATTTAACTTGATCTCAAACAGCTTAAACCTGTTAGCTGATGTGGCTCAGTGGCTGAGCGTCAACCTATGAACCAGGAGGCCATGGTTAGATTCCCGGTCAGGGCACATGTCCAGGTTGTGGGCTGGATCCCTGGTGGGGAGTGTGCAGGAGGCAGCCGATCGATGATTCTCTCTCATCATTAATGTTTCTCCCCCTCTCTGAAATCAGTAAAAATATATATTTAATAAAAAGTTGAAGAGAATTCAAAGCAATGTTGCTTCTGGGCATTGGTAATTGCACTCAATACACACCGCCATGCCATTCTTCATCACTCTTCCTACTTTATTCCAAGCTAGGAAATGTGGGCGATCCAAGGGACTACATAAATAAAGTATTCAGATAAATACAAACTCTAGTGCCCACAAGTGAGATGGCCATTCATTTTTTAAAATAAACTTCAAAATGTGTATAAATATAAACAAGAGTTAAAAACGATTAGTAGGGATAACTACTAATGAAACGTAACTACTATGACATGACGCTAGTTGTGCAAAAGAGCTCCATGTTGTTTACATGGCTTACTTCCTGCACCAAAAAATAAAGTCAGAAAGTGCACAGTGTTCAGTTTCAGAAAGCACAAAACCATCAGAGAAGATGTCCCTTACAAAACAGCAAGGACGCCCAAGGAGTGCTCCTGTACATCCAGAGCCCCAAGCACAGTGTCCAGATGGGATAAGTTCTTTGCAAGGAGTTCCCCGCTCTTGTTGATCAGCTCACAAAGCTGAGTCATCTGCCCTGAAAAACAGGAATAACACTATGTCATTCAGTTACAGTACTAACCAAACCAAAGGTAGGATAACCAGACTTCATACCCCAGAGCAAGAAATACCTGAAGATTATTCCTTGTATCGCCTTCATTTCAGATGAGGACCGAGAAGGGCCAGAGGAGTGAAAGGAACTGGACACCCACATCCCTCTGCCCCCTGAAAGTTTCTCCATTCCCTCCATTCCTTCCTCTGGTTCCCCAAGCCAGAAAAGTACACACACGATCACTACCACTCCCTGCTCCCTCTCTGTACCCAAATGTCACCAAAGACGATTTCCTTTTACTTCCTTTCGCTCTCCCCTGACTTAATTCATATCCTTATTTCTTATCTAAACTACATCATAACCCTTCTCAATGCCCACTCGTCCCTCCAGCCCATCTCTCACACTGGCACCTGTGTGGTCTTTCTAAGTGAAAAATTCAATCAAATCACCCCAGTGGTTCAGCCCAGTGACTGGTCTCTGTGCCTCCCCAGCCTTGTGTCCTGCTACTTCCCTTCACACAACTCGTCTTTGGTCATGACAAGCTCAAAAGTCAATCAACACTCCCTATCCTCTCACCTTTGTGCCTCTACACCTGCTTTTCTCCGCGCTGAGCGTTCCTCCCTTCAGGCTTCTCCCCCATGCCCTCCTCTACCTGCCTCACACTCTGCTCTACAGTCTGCCTGGTCTTCCCTGGACCCTCACCCATCCTCCTTTCCTGAGGCTAACTTGGTTGGCTATCTGTCCGCTCCCCATCACATGAGAGTAGGTAATTCAGCATAAACTCAGGTGAAGAGAGTCCCTTCTCCAGCTTAATAATACAGTTTTTATGCAGCCAATCAATTAACAAGCAGCTTGATGAATCTAAGACCCATTTTTCTTCCTCTTATATCACAATGTTATAACAACAAAAGTATAGAATCTAATTAGGCCCAAATTGGTACTCTGAACTAGCTTACCAATTCTAACATGTTATTCTAATAACAGACATACCATAGATACTCTCAAACCTCACTAGCTGTCTTTCCATGATCTATTAGGTATCATTTTTCAAGACAATAATACAAGTTGAACTGGGAAAGACCGACTCACTGTCCCTTTATTAAAGACCTCACTGGTCTGTATGAATACGCAGCATCATCTTCCAATAAAATGATCGCCCCCTTTTAAACCCACTACTTGAAATAAGTTTACAATGATTTGAAACACCCAGAAATAAGCATTTCAGTCCATTAAATAATCAATGCTGAGTTGAGACTTAAAAGCTGGGCCATTATGAAATCATGAGAGTCAACTACTGCAGGGGAGAGTCCACAGTAAGTTTAAGTGTCACAGGCACACTGCAATGAGCCCAGCTAGAGATGTGGCAGTGAAATGTCCTCTATCCCTTCATTTAAGCTCCATGTTAAGAAATTCTGAACGAGAGCAGAGAAAGTAGACCCTCATCCACATGCACCCGTGCACGCGGGGCGGTGCACGCGGGGCGGGCAGCAGCAGCAGCAGCGTCCTCTGTCCTCTGTCTCCGCCCGGCAGGCTGCTCCTGAGTGGCGCCGTGCACAGAGCATGCGGGCAGAACTTCAGGTGAGTGATGCCTCTGGAGGCTCCACGGCCAGAGGAAGGCAGTGGCCTGTACACGGAGTGAACGAGGCAGGCTCCCAACCCAACCTTCTACGCGCTGCGGCCCCGAAAACAGAAACGAGTGTCAGGGCCCTGATGAATGGCGGTGTCTTCATTCCCAGACTCAAAGCCTGTGCCTCACCTTCGAGCCTAACGTCTATAAACACACAGAAGCCCTGCGCTCTGCCCTCTGCCTGCTGCACAGGGGGCCTTCCGGCAGCAGCGGGCGGAGGGAAGTGGGGAGACTGGCCCCGAAGGGGACTTGCCCACGGCCACGCGGCGCCCCGAACTTACACCCCACGGCCGCCCCACGAGCACTAGTCACTGCGCCCCAGGACGGGCGCCTTCCCTCGCTCCTCAGCCCTGCCACTCCGTGGGATGCGGACTGACTTTATCTCCAGATGAAGACACGGGAGGGTGACAGGGGCCTTCCCAGCCAGCAGCGAACTACTTAATTCAGAGCCCAGGGTCCATCAAGTGATGAGATGAATGAACCCGAAAGCACGAAAATTAATTCGTCCGGCCTCCGCAGGACGA